CTGTGTAATAAGAGCATGCAGGCCCTTCTATTTTGGCATTTTGTTTTAAGGTCATTTAAATCTGAACTTTAGGGAGATATAAAGGACAATTAAATGCAGCCCAGAGTTTAACTACAGTTTTCTAATAATCTTGGTATTTTATTTAGAAAGGTCCCAAGCCTGCAAAAAATTATTGTGAAAACAAAAGACATTTGCGCTAGATTCGTGATAACCAATAGAAATCAAAACAATAAACATAATTAAATTAAAATATAAATTACAATGCTGCCACTTCAAACAAAAATCAGTTAAACCAAAAAAGAACCCTCAAGTGATTCAGTAGCGCAAAAAATATAAATACAAAATGTACACATGTACGTATCAGGTACGTATCACATAAAGTGATTAATCAGCATAAATAAAATGGAAAGTCCAAAAAAGTCTCTTCTACCAAACAATTCTTCTAATTTCCAATAAAATCACCATGTGCTCATAAAGAAGGTGTTCCCCCTTTCGGGTGTGCCCTCACTGAATAACCATGCCCCCACATTCTCATGGTTGTCTGGAATCGCTTATTATATTAATCCAGATGGGAAAGAAGTCGGCCAGTATCAAAATTGTTTCACTTCTTTCTGTTTACTCCCAAATCTCCATGCCTCTCATTCTCATGATTAGCTCACACTACTTCATAGATTGACAGATTCCTAGTACAATACCCATATAGATAACACTATCCTTCTCCACAATCTTCTCTCTCAGAGTTAGTGGTCATGAAACAACAAAGAAAAAAATACCCCAATGGTGCAGTACAAAATACACCTTTAATCGCTAAAAGTATACCTCCACCTACAAAAATTTGGCAAATTCAACGCCTATGGATACTGCAGTATGTCACAAAAATAGAGCAGAAACAGGCCACCTAGAATGACACGAATGACACGAATGACTGGTGTCATAATCATATCTCCGACTCACTTAGTATGTAAGTGTGGATCCATAAACCCAGAAAATGCATACTGAACAATATGGTAGTGTGACAAGAGCACCCCTACCTGAAAAAAGAAGGTTACTAAAAGATCCACGCGGAGTAATATGGATTCAAAAATTACAGGCAATACTTTATTTGATCACATAGATCATACTGCAGTATGCTGTTATACACTGATGGGTATCAAGCAGTGCTCTCACCACCGCCAGATCCCAAACAATGATGCTTATGCATTACTTCAGGTTCCAGTCCTGAACGTCACTTCCGGTTGCCGCACAGCCTCGGCCAGACGTGTTTCGTCATATCAGACTTAGTCATAGTCATATCCAATTTAGTCTACTGCAGTATCCATAGGGGTTGTATTTGCCAAATTTTTGTAAGTGGTTGCCTACGTTAAGTGATTAAAGGTGTATTTTGTACTGCACCATTGGGGATTTTGTTTTGAAAGATTACAGCCAACCATGAGAATTGGGGGGGACTTTGATACCCATCATAATAGGGATCCAGATGGAGTGTAGATAGAAAAACTGAACCCCCACTGAAGGGAGGAAAGAAATCTCTAAAAGCGAAACTTGATGGGTTTATGAACTGTGTGCATATGTTCCCATAAATTAAATATAGAATGAAGCTTTCAGTATTTTACTGATAAAAAACAAATAGTTTTTTTTACTCTTTTTATTATTTAATGTTATTGATTGTATTGGTATTTACACACATACATATTTATATACAATATTATTGGACCTTCTATGCTGCACTTTGTATTTACGCACTTTAAAAATATTTTCACATACATGGGGATCTTAGCGGGATCACACCTAACTATGGATGAGATACATACAGTATAGTACCGTGCATTAAAATAGTGAAGCGCTCCCAAATTATCTAAAAAAAATTATTCAATAAGTGAAGAATTACATAAACACTTCTAATAAATACCCATATACTATTAACTCATAATAGATCTGTGATAAAAATACCAAAATATACAATTCATAAAATATACCCAAATAACAGTGATAAAACCAATTAACATAATACTGCTGATTCATAAAAAATGTGACAAATCGTGATACTTGTGACACAACTGAATATCAAAAAAAATTATATAGTGATACTGCGATAAGTAAATACATATATCTGTGGTGAACCCTATAACAAATTTAGAAAAAATTGCTTCTTAGATCAAAAAAAAATATTTTTTATAAATAAATAAATAAACTCAGTGTTTCAAAAAAACTCAAATAATATCATGCAAAAATGTGAAACACTCTGTGATCTTCACTTCTAGTGCTCAAGAAAGGAATCCTCCAACGGCAGAAATGCCTGCTCACCTCCCCTCCTCGACCCACACAGGGCCAAAAGGCAAAAAGGCTCTCCTTAAAGGCAATCCTTTCCTCCAGGCAACTCAGGCAGGAACCTCAGGACTTCCACTCCACCTCCTCTCACCACGTCATATAGGGCACAAACAGAAACTTCCCAAAGTGTAACATCGTTTATTGTAAATAATATGGCATAACAAACTTTCCAACTCACATGGTAACTTTGGATACAGCGCTTTTTTCACCTCACATCATGGGTGTACTCTCATGCAGGGAGGGAAACCAATATGGCCGCTGCGTCCGGACAAAAACGTCCCCACGTGACCGGAAGTGACGTAATATCGTGCTGGGAATGGCGTTCTGACGCGTTGCGTCACGTGCGTCGTGACTTCATCAGGGTATGGTACCCTGATGAAGTCACGACGCACGTGACGCAACGCGTCGGAACGCCATTCCCAGCACGATATTACGTCACTTCCGGTCACGTGGGGACGTTTTTGTCCGGACGCAGCGGCCATATTGGTTTCCCTCCCTGCATGAGAGTACACCCATGATGTGAGGTGAAAAAGCGCTGTATCCAAAGTTACCATGTGAGTTGGAAAGTTTGTTATGCCATATTATTTACAATAAACGATGTTACACTATGGGAAGTTTCTGTTTGTGCCCTATATGACGTGGTGAGAGAGGAGGTGGAGTGGAAGTCCTGAGGTTCCTGCCTGAGTTGCCTGGAGGAAAGGATTGCCTTTAAGGAGAGCCTTTTTGCCTTTTGGCCCTGTGTGGGTCGAGGAGGGGAGGTGAGCAGGCATTTCTGCCGTTGGAGGATTCCTTTCTTGAGCACTAGAAGTGAAGATCACAGAGTGTTTCACATTTTTTGCATGGATTATTTGAGTTTTTTTGAAACACTGAGTTTATTTATTTATTTATAAAAAATATTTTTTTTTGATCTAAGAAGCAATTTTTTCTAAATTTGTTATAGGGTTCACCACAGATATATGTATTTACTTATCGCAGTATCACTATATAATTTTTTTTGATATTCAGTTGTGTCACAAGTATCACGATTTGTCACATTTTTATGAATCAGCAGTATTATGTTAATTGGTTTTATCACTGTTATTTGGGTATATTTTATGAATTGTATATTTTGGTATTTTTATCACAGATCTATTATGAGTTAATAGTATATGGGTATTTATTAGAAGTGTTTATGTAATTCTTCACTTATTGAATAATTTTTTTAGATAATTTGGGAGCGCTTCACTATTTTAATGCACGGTATTTTTTGACTTGTTGGTTGAGTTTGAGTGATTGCAGCTAGTAGATAGGGACCTACCCATATTAAGCGCAGGAGGATATTCCCCCCTTATACAGTATAGTACACATGATTGTTACAGAGCTGTTATGTATGTTCAATAACTTAGATTTGTTTAAGCACATAATGTAGTATGGTTACTTTGCACATTGATATACATTTATAGTGCATGAAAGGAATTGACTCTCGTTCCTCTCTGCACTGACTCCCGTCAGCCCCTGGCACTGATCAGCAATTACCCTCAGATCTGGAGTTCACCTGAGACACAAAGGAATTGCAGACAGACACAAGGTAGTATCTCAGAATGAACTGAATTTATTTCTTCCGTGTTTAAACTTATATATGAAAACTTAAAAACAATGCATAGAAATATAAGAACCAATCAATTGACAGGTATGCATTTAACCAATCAGAATATTACATACGTCAGTCATGCCCAATCAGTTGGCATATATGTTAATTATTAGTATATACGTCAAGCTTGAACTTTTGAACAGCACAGAAAGCAGACAATTCCTCTTTTAATGCTGGCCATAGTTATTAATACTCTTTCAACAGGATGTAGCCCACCACAGACTTTCAGTCTTGGGCTAGCTAAGGGAAAAAGGGGAAGTTGCACCTGGACAAAAAGAGGAACTTTTTAACTCCTGACAAAATACCGTTTAAAACAAGAAAGTCAATTCTTTTAAAATACTGACTTAAGATGGATACTGATTCTAAGATGGAAGAACTTTGGCTCAGAGAGACAAGATGGGCCGAGACATCAAATTTAAGGGCTAATCCCTTCAAACCCCCTCTTAGGTCACACACGTGACCTTACACCTTAGTCACAGGTTGGTACCTGGGGCCCTTAGTAGGTAATCAGGGTTCCCCATATACCAAACCAGGTTTCAAATAAAACTGACCAGTGGATTTTCTACTCCCTGAGCTTTCAGCTAATTCTTCAAACAATATTTGGAGGTTGTGAAGGGCTCTAATAATACTTCCATCAGAAACAGTGTTATGGGGATAAGAGTACAACCGCAGGAGTTAAACATTTTACATACTTTCCCTTTATCAGCTAATAACATATCAAAAACAGTATGGTTCTACCAAACCTTTGTTAACCATAGCCAATGTAGTTAACCCAATCTACATTCTCGCTAAACTGTACCCATATAATACAGACAAATTCTGCAACAACATTACTATGTTCAAATCAGGCAAAATTTCCTGATACTGGTTTAGAGACTTAAAAGTAAATTATGTAATCTGGTAACAGGGAATTTCTCAACCAAATCAGTACATTCCTTCTCAGTGATATTATCTTTGTGCACTCTAATTAGACAGAACATATTAGTTTCTTTTTCCTGAAAAAGGGAACCAGTCTCAATGCTTAATCTATCTTTTGATTGCATCATTACTCCTGTATTTTCCTAGCCTCCAGGGCGAGCTGCCTGCGGCACGGGCAGGGACTGTTAAAAAGGAATTGGTGACGGTTGTTCTCTGAAAATACTTATCCTAGCGGATTGGAAATGGCTAGTAACAAAACAATAGACAATGGGATCCATACAACTATTAAAACTACTCAAAGTTACTGTGACATGGTACACAATGAGGATGATATCCCGAGACACCTCACTGCGGACACAGAAAACCACTTGACTAACATGAATGGGAGTGAAACAGACTGTGAAGATGACCAGCACCATTATGAGGAGCTGTACCGCCTTCACCCGTCTCTCTCGGCTTTGGTTCATTTGTATTGACTTGGACAAAGTCCACATGATCCGCAGGGTGTAGAAAACAACAATCACCAAAGGAACAAAATACTCAAAACCTGTCAGCATAAGTAGCTGGAAAAAAACAACAATGTTTGTGGTTAATCGTTGTGGTCAGTATGATGAAAGTTACAATCACAGCAAATATCCAAATCAAAACACAGATGCATTTGGCATAACTGGGATTTCTCCATCTGCGTGAGGCTTTGGCTTGCACAATGGCCAGGTAGCGATCAACACAGATGCAGGTCAGGAAAAGAATACTACAGTACATGTTCACAGAGTACGTAAAACTGTGAACATAATAGCAGATATGACAGGTCTCTACATTATGGTAATACATAACAATTCGTGCTGGTAGAGAGAGACCCACTAAGAGGTCTGTCACTACCAAGTTAATGGTGTAAATAACAGAGGGTGTCCTTGCTTTGGTCTGAAAACAGAACACATAAAGGGCCAAACTGTTCAGTATTATGGCCATCAAAAAAATAAAAGAGTTGATAATTAGCAACGCCACCCAAAGGCCATAGAACCTTTGATGCAAGGTTTCACCTGGGTTGGCTTGTTGAGGGATTTGGAATTGTTTGTCATTTGCTATAGATTCATTCAGTTCAAGTTCTCTGGATGGGTTGAAGTTTCCAGGGCTGACGAAGCACTCCATGTGGTTCAGATCAATCTCTCAGGACTTCTCTGGCTGCTTCTTCTGTATCTGTGTCTTTGTCTTGCTTCTTAGGGGTATGGTTTACTCTTTTCACACATCTGGCATGGATCCAGGCCTTGGAATCCTCAGTCAGAACAGCGGTCCTAGTGACAGCGATCACGGAAACGAGTTGGTTCCTGTAAAAAAAAGAGAAAGGTGCGAGCAACATTTCTTTCAACCTTGTCCAAACTTTCAATAAACTTTCTCACATATTCTTCCTGAATCAATCCTAAATCCCCTCTTTCTACCATGAGTGGCTGTCTGGCCCAGGGAGTGGGAAAGAGCCTATCCATTAAAACCTAAAAAAAAAAAGGGGGGTAACCTGTCTTCTTAGAAGGAATCATCCTTATCTCTGTCAAAACTGCAGGCAGCACTCTCTTCCAGTTTACATAGGTACCTCCAGTAGCTTTCCTAATTTTATCCTTGATACTTCTATTCATCCTTTTCACTATACCTGAACTCTGAGGGACATTTCCACCTAGCGACTAAACATATCCACAATTACCCAAAAAAAAAATATTCCTATCCTTTTCCTACCTTTGGCATGTGTGCAAATTCTACCTGTGGACAGATAAAAAATGTTAATGTCTTGCCTTGTGAGGATTGTTCCTAATGTATGTAATGCATCTAGACACATATGATTTTACCATAAAGGGGGGCCAGGGATGAAAAAAATCCAGCAGTTCACATGTAACCTGCCATCCCCTGTGACCTATCCCATAATACTGTGAGCTGTGACCTACCCCATGATACTGTAAGATAAACAGAGGTGCACTAGCTTCTAGAATACATGGTCTCCCCTCTTGTGACACAAAGTCCAGTTAGTGGAACTTTGGTCACACTAACTACATTCCACTTAATATCTTTAGAAGTAGCAAATGTCTGTAAATACTGCAATATATGATCTAACAGTGACATTTAAAATTGGAGCAGGATCTAAAGTGGGAGGAATATATTTTTTTCTCAACTTGGGGTTTAACAACAATATAACCTCATATTCACTAAATGGTGGTGTGTAAGGTGGTCTCATGTCCAAGAGTAAATGACATAGCCATTTGAATCACCATCACAAATAATAGCAAACTTCTGAGACACACAGGCATGCCTTGAACCTGTACCAGAACCATCTTTGAGAGAAAAACAAAACAAAAGGGCGGAGTGTACCTCCATGCTCCCCAAGCCAGGATTCCTGACATAGTTTTACAAATTTTCCCTAACATACAGATGAAACATTTGATCATATGCGGGCAGACCAAGACCAGGGGCTATTACCATAGCATGTTTCAGATACACAAAAACATTACACATTTCAATTAACCATTTCACAAGATCTGACATTTCTAAACCTGTGGTTTGTCTCAAAATACTGTCATAGTAGGAACAGTCAGGTATCCATTGGCGGCAGCAACCAATCATACCAAGAAAGGTAAGCATGTCTTTCTTGGTCAATGGGCGGGGCAGACCCATAAGAGCCGCAGCTCTCTTGTGACTGAATTTCCTATCACCTTTTGTGAGGACAAAACCAAGGTATTCAACAGTTTCTTAACACCATTATAACTTTTCTTAGACACTTTATGATCACATATACATAACCAGTTCATAAGATACACACTGTCCACCTGGCTGGCTGTCCACACTGAAACCAACTAAACCATGGCTAGGAGTTCATGGCTTGGGGCCTGGAGGACTACAGTATAATCCTGGAGAAATTCAGATAAAACTTTTACTTCTAAAGTTAAAGGCAAAAATTAGCCATGTCTCCTTAACAACAGGAATTTGCTAAAAAAAAACAATTTGTCAAATCAATCACTTGTAAAAAAAAAACAACTCGGCATCAGGTGGGATGGAGGAAATGAGTATTGGTACATCAGGTACTATTGGGACAATGAGAGTTACAAGAGCATTTATAGCCCTCAGGTCCTGCACAAATCTGTAAGAACCGTCTGGCTTCTCAACTAAATTTATTGGGCTGTTGTATGGTGAAATCACCTTTCCAAGGATTCTTGCCTTGAAACAAATGCTCCACCATGGGCACTATTCTTTCCTCCTTTACTTTAAACAAAGGGCATTATTTATAAAACACAGTGTGGCCTTGTATTGGAGTGCAGGAAATGAATCCCACATCCAAGGAACTTTCTGCTCAAACTTTATATTGTTCCAGCAGAGAGTGAGGGATCATATTTCAATAAACACTGTCATAACAGGGACAGTTGGTATCCCGGCAGATTGAGCCACAATACCTCCTTTCCCAGAGTTTTAGATTAATACTAAGCTTTCCCAAGAGAACAAATCAACTGGACAATTGGGTATGATTTTGAATGAATGCTCTAGCAGCAAAAAAAAACTGAAAAAAGCGGTGCTTTAAAAATGTTGGTGGGTTTCCCACCTGTTCTTATAGAGAGTTTTCACTTTTTCAGCGAATTCTCTCCACATACTGTTTCAGGTGGTGAACTCGGGATGTCTGTTACATCCAGACCATCACTCACCCTTTAATATCAGGGAACCTGAACCAGAGGATTCTTCAACAAATAAATCCTCCTCTTCAGTAATTGGAGTGACAGCAACTCTCCCTACGGCTTCATGTGTGGCAGGAGTTTGAACTACACTCTGAGAATCCTCGGGAGTTTGAACTGTAAAAGGCTGTGTGGCAGAAATCTGAACTGCACTAGTTATTTGGTGTGTCTGTGCAGATATTAAAACTGGTGATGCGGGAGGTGCAGTGGGATTAGGATTCTGGACTACATAATGGTTGGTTAGGAAATCAACAATTTCCTCTGTAAGGGTGGGATAACCGTACGGTGGAGGGAGTAACATGAGAGGGTGTGTGGATCTGTCTATTTCTGACTCTAATGAATGTATTCTTGCTGCATCATTATTCCTAACTTCAGCCTTCTTTTGCCTCTTATTTTTCCTATAAAACCAAAGCGGAGCAAACGTCACCCAATTCTGTCCACCCCTGGCCATATATCTTGGGTCCCACATGGGGTCTCCCTCGTACCATGGGAATGCCTGTTTTTCTCCCAGACAGAGTCCCCTGACCATATCCATATGAAAAGTATCATTATCACCACTATAGGGAAATGGATCCACACTGCCCATTACTTCACTCCATTCTGCTAATCTATCTACCCAGAGATGAATTAAAGAATAATCTGTCCCACAGATACGGGCTACATAATCTATACACGCTTCACCAACATTTGGGAGAGAGGGGCTTATTCCTACTCTGACTTCTCCCCATATCTTACACTTGAATATATCTGTATCACAAATCTGTCCTATAGGCTGTAATGACAATTTATCCTATAAAAATGCCTGGACCTAAGATACTTTCTCTAGTCTTTCTCTAGTGACTGATAAAAGTGAAGATTATAACCTGGGTGTACAATACTTTCTAATAATATTCTGCCAATCTTTTCTAACTTGCAACACAATTTAAACAAAACATTTACATAGGCACCCAACTCAGCGTTGACAACTTCACCCAGATCATCAACCAATAAGGTTTAGCTGAAGGGGTGGAGCATGTCACACTGAAATTGACAATACCTTCAGTAACCGCTGGCCCCACATACACTTTACCACCTGGGCACTTGTGTCACACAAACAAATTATCTTATACTTCTATGCGATAGGAAGATAAGCAAAGAGTTGCAGGGCAATACTGATCAACCCCGGGGCTTTTTTCCTGGTTTCTTTCATCAAAGAAACACTTTTCAGTCTCTTCTCATAAGAGACTTTGCAGTTCCCAAAACTGCCTCTAGTCTTTTTCAAAAGACCTTGTGCTCCCCACAGCACTTTGCGCCTGGCCACTGGTGTCTTATGACGCTGAGTCCAATGCTACCATAGGGCATGAGATTTCAATCAGAGCCTTACCGCAAGACAGACTATTTGGCAGAATGACAAAAAATCATACTTACCAAAGGGTGATTATCTCATCCCGGACACGAGCCCCCAATTGAAAGGAATTGACTCTCGTTCCTCTCTGCACTGACTCCCATCAGCCCCTGGCACTGATCAGCAATTACCCTCAGATCTGGAGTTCACCTGAGACACAAAGGAATTGCAGACAGACACAAGATAGTATCTCAGAATGAACTGAATTTATTCTTCCGTGTTTAAACTTATATATGAAACTTAAAACAATGCATAGAAATACAAGAACCAATCAATTGACAGGTATGCATTTAACCAATCAGAATATTACATACGTCAGTCATGCCCAATCAGTTGGCATATATGTTAATTATTAGTATATACGTCAAGCTTGAACTTTTGAACAGCACAGAAAGCAGACAATTCCTCTTTTAATGCTGGCCATAGTTATTAATACTCTTTCAACAGGATGTAGCCCACCACAGACTTTCAGTCTTGGGCTAGCTAAGGGAAAAAGGGGAAGTTGCACCTGGACAAAAAGAGGAACTTTTTAACTCCTGACAAAATACCGTTTAAAACAAGAAAGTCAATTCTTTTAAAAATACTGACTTAAGATGGATACTGATTCTAAGATGGAAGAACTTTGGCTCAGAGAGACAAGATGGCCGAGACATCAAATTTAAGGGCTAATCCCTTCAGTGCATAGTTTATTTTGTATTCAATATGTATGTAATTTACATTATACTCTTTCAGGACTTTGTGCACTTTTTCACATATGAAATAATACCTTTGTTTATAGTGGAGCTATACACAGTGCTGTTTGCAGTCGTTGGTACTTTTCAGTGTTTGATGCATTAGCTTTATGCAACACTACTAACTCCTAGTACAGTGTATATTTTCATAACACTGTATCAATTTAGGTTTTGAATTATACTGTATACTTTTTCACTTCATATAAAGTTTGTGTTTATATCCATGTGTGTCGGTATTGAAGCAATATACTTGGCTGTATCAGCATACTGTGCAAGATAGTGCAGTATAGTAGTATAATGATGGAGGGGACTATTCTGTGTATTCTTTATTGAACTGATCTGTTGTCAGTGTTTTAAGCCTCTAAGGACATCCTATTGGATGAAATGCATAGGGTGGAGCAAGTTTTCTGATGTCACACACTGTCTGTTCAGAAAGAGTCACAGTGTTTTTCTGTAAGATTTGAGAATTTCTGCACTAGTACAGTTTTCTCTATTTTGTAATTTTAGGCAAATATCTCTGCATATGCTGGTGGATGAGTTATGTTTCTGCTGAACCCAGGACAATATCTGTGCATACTGAAATATCCATCTTCTGACCTATATGAATTTTTGCCTCTGTACTGTTGGGGTGCTATGTTTTCATGAGTAACCTTTTTCATCATATTGGGGTGGTTATTTTGCTCTTCTTAGAGCCACAAGGGTGCCATCTCAAAAATTGGATGACTAATTTACAGTTGTGTGTGCTGATTCAAGGTCACATCACATGGTGAGTTGTTTCTCCTGGTGGCCAGGTGAAGTTTTGGAAAGTCAAGAAGGAAATCTGGTAGTTTCAATCCAAGCGCTGCAATCTTCTATATGCTAATTTGCTCTTTCTTAGAAGAGAGCAAAATGACATACTAAGCAGACAATGCTACATTTACAGTCAAGCAAACATAATGTATAACTATGTCAACAGCAGCAGCCTGAAATCCACAAAAAGGAAATTAAGGAAACATAATTTACCACAGCATAATGTATCCAGAAAAGTGGCTAAATAATAGACAAAATCAAGAAATGTGTTCATCGTGATTACTTGGCTTAAAGGCATAATAAACTTCTTACCTGCATCTTGTGTGTTTTACCTGCATAGATCATGTAGTTGCATGGTGTAATTTGTTGCCTTGTGATCACAGCCTATAGAAGAGTAAATCTTCACTTTCATTTGTTAGCAATTTCTGTTTGTGTTCAAATATGAGACATTCAGCATAGCATTGCACAGGTTAATGCTTGACCTCTGTAATGAAAGAACTGAAACTTTCTGTGAAGAAACTACATATCCCACCAGGGGCGGACTGACAACTCAAGGGGCCCCAGAGCAATAGGGGATCATGGGGCCCCTGTGTCCTTGCCCAAACTCAAAAAAGCCTATGAAAAAGGTACCAGGGGCATCTCATGGGGCCCCCTACTGACCCCGGGCCCTCGGGCAGTGCCCGAGTTTCCAAATGGTCAGTCCGCCCCTGTATCCCACAATCCCTTGGCCTCTCAGTCTAGTAATTTGCAGGTTGTAGTAATAAGTTCAGACAGATGCAAGCAGGCAGAGCAAATGGAAGAGATGTGTTTTCATCACATTAGCACTCCTACATTTTTGATTCAACACCAAGGAAATCGTGAGGCATTGACTGGATACTGCATGATCCAGAACAGGAATTGCATTTCCCTTTAGTGAATTTGGACAAGCAAGGTTAATGACTATGTGGGTATATGAACACAGGGGAACTGATCATCCAGGACACTATAAACTGCAGCAGCAACCTGTAAGCCCATCATTACAAGGTAAGGCAAACAAATACCACTGGGAATATAAACTACACTAATACCTAGTTAAAGCAACAAAAACATTTGAAAGGGGACAATGCCTTTAATCTAGCAAGATTCTATAATTTGCTCTAAATTGTCATTTAGGGGCAGGTTTATCAACATTGGGCAAACTCAGGCATGTAACATTTGTGAGTTAATCAGAATGCACTATAATTTGATGTATGGTCTCCTACATATTTATTGCGCTGAAGACAGTTCTCTGTGGTATTGAACTGCAGCTCCATGGAAAAGTATAAAAAACAGCAAATCCAATGCTGTGGAAATCTGCTCAGCATGTAAATCCAAATGTTTCCTATGCCTGTTTAGCTTAGGTTTTGTTGAATGAGTTACAAAATGTTCTGTTACAAGCAAGAGCCAAAAAGACTTAATTAACTGTTATGCCAGTAATGTTTATTGACTGAAAACTAATGAATGTTTCTTAATAGGTATTATCCATTCATTATAACCACCATTACTATTATTAATTTTTCAAATGATATGAAGCCCTAATGCGAGCAAGAAAAGTTCTGAACAGCAGTTCATTGCATACAAAGGTAAATTTGGATGGCTTGTGCTTGTTAATAGAAGGTATGGAAAGTGATGTAAAATAGAGTGGGCTGGGGGAAGGCCACAATATAGCACTGGGTGGCTGTAGTTGTATTAATACATCCTAATCTTCGCATGGCTGTCTTCATCTGAGAGCATCCCACTGTATCCTATTTGGGGGAAGAAAAAATACTGCATAGTTTCCCAGCATGCTTGACACCCCAAAGGAACCTCCTCCTTATAATATTTCAGGTTTATTCTCCAGTCAATAACAGACCTTTATATTATTTCTTCTAGTTATCATCTACTTCTCTGTGTTTATGTAAGAAGTGAAAAGTAACAGCACAGTACTGACTAAGAAGTAAGATTCACAGCATCTAACATTAAGCACTGGCTTTTGGTAAATGAAAATAATTATATAATTTTTTATATGTAAATTTGAGCACAGTCCCAAGGTCCTGTATAAATGAAGCAAACTTTTTTTGGGTACAGTCTGACAAACATTAAATGTATATCCTCAGCAAGCAATTCAGGTTTCAACTAACCAGTTTACATATCTTTAATTCCCAATACCCCATTTTTTACTTTTAATTATATTATGACAACAAATTCTCTCTGGAAGTAAAGATCAAATATTTTCCTGGTGTGTGTGGTTCTGTCTAAGCTGCAAACACATTTGGGCCAAACAATACTCATAGTATACTATCTATAAAAGTATATAATGCAAAGTAATACCACAATGCCAATGGGTGTCAGCTTTGTTGTATATTTTCACTTTGTAGACAAATTGGGATAACACCCAAGCTATATTTGGTACATGTTTCCATTCACTTACCATATCTTAACTTGTTCACACTGACAGTACCAAATATGCACCTCTTGGTGGCTGGGCCTTGATGCCGAGTGGTTGCATATTTGCGCACCAAAAGTAAACAAACATGTGCCAAGAGAGCATCCCTGCGTGCTCCCGCCACATTTACTGGCGCGCCTCACAGAAAGGTCCCGATCACTACTTGCAATTTGGACCTTTCTGATCATGTGACAGAGGTGCCACAAACCCCTAAAGGACTGGGAGGCACCGGCGCAAAGGGGTTAAAATGCACTAACCTGCAGGTGAAATGTTGAATCTGTAATATGTACTACAGCAAAAGTGACATTTACAAAGAACACATAATACTGCTGCTAAATTACATTTCCCAGTTGGATTGCTCATTGTTGAAAAAATGGCATGGGGGGCCTCCAAAATAATAAAAAAAAAGGCATGGGGAGATAGGCATAGCCTTGGGGGACATGTTCCAATGCAAACATTTCAAAGAAAAACATTTGTTGCATCTATTTTATTAAGCACTAAAATGAAACATTAAAATGCACAAATTAAATACCTTTAAACAGGGGCGGACTGACCATTTGGAAACTCGGACACTGCCCGAGGGCCCGGGGTCAGTAGGGGGCTCCATAAGATGCCCCTGATATCTTTTTCATAGGCTTTTTTGAGTTTGGGCAAGGACACAGGGGCCCCATGATCCCCTATTGCCCGGGGCCCCATGAGTTGTCAGTCCGCCCCTGCCTTTAAATACCATACCTGGGGGAATTTTTGGCCTTTCTCCAAAGTGATGTACTTGTATGATGCATACAATGCACTGCAGCAAAAGTGTCATCTACAAAGAAAAAAAAAACTTACTTTTCTCAGCTGCAAAATTTTGTTTGTAAACAAATTGGCTGAACATTTCCTTCATCTCTACCAGACCCATATCCCAGGTGAGAGTCTAGTATAGATGTTAAGGGAGGACCCCAACACAAAAGAAAAAACTGTGAACCCCCCCTAAAAATACAAACCCCCCTAAAAATACATAGCAGATCTTTATTGTCAATGAGGGTTTGGTATGGATTTTATGTAGGACCCCATGCATGAAAAAAAAATGCATTGGATCCCTTTCAAATTCCATACCAGATCATTACCTGAGCAGACAGCCCGTCTGAATAGGAACTGTGGTGCCATGGATTGTGTGGTTCCTTCTCCTGAACAAAACCAGGCCACATGCCCTCAAAATGAGGACAGTTCAATGCCAGGACAAGGGCCTCTTCCCCACAACCCTGGCCCAGTGGATGTGGAGTTATCTATGTGGGAGGATTTTAAGATAAGGGGGTTCACAGACATCTTCCTCTTACTCCTTGCATAATAAGCTGTGATATTCTTTGCGAGTTTGCTTGGTGGCAACAAGTGCCGTATTGGCCCTGCTTCCTTCTCAATGTGTACTGTGTTGTTTTTGGAAAGAAACAGTTGTTTCTGGGAAAGAGGGCTCTGACCATTCCATTGAATTTCAAGGAGCTTTATGAGTTATACAAATTACTTTCTCAGCCTAGATATTACAATATCAGTCATATTTCCTGGTGTCTGGGGCATGCATACAATAATAAAGGGCTAGAATTATATCCTTGTTGGTGTAAAGAAGAGATGTCATGGATTTGCTCTTAGAAAAACAATGCAAATTCTGTAATCTCCCATGGTAATTTGTATAGCTACATATCTGTACAGATAATGCAACGTGATCCAATTGAAAATATTCTTATACTCGGTAATTGTATATCACTTCATGGTTTAGCTGCAATAAGCCGATTTTTAACTGTTGGAACACTATTGTTCCGTAAATAAAAAATGGAACACCTAAAACTTTAGATTATATTTTGGATGATGGCCTCTTAAGATTTTTTTCTTTAACATCTAAGATGGCTGGCTTCCTGTGTCTAAAGGAGGTCACAATGTGTTAGTTCAACTGCTGAGCAGCTATTATTGCAACTTGTGAAATAATACTTAGCTAAACATAAAACAAAATATTTTACCTGAACTGATATTTCTTTGATGTAAGGGCTCAAAGAAATTGTATAAAGGAACTCAGCACTATACTGTTTCATTATGTATAATTAAGTGTTCATGTGGAGATACTTTTTTCCAGTCCTTAATCATCAAACAGCGATTCAAATTGAGCTTTTGTTTCTCAAATGTGGTAAATATAGTTGCACATTTCACCGCTCTTATGAACAGATTTTGCTAGCCAAAGGAGCTTACTTGTAATTAATGAATGTCTTTTAAACAAACTGTATACTTACGCAACTAAATAAATGACTAAGAATGAAGATTTTACTGTATATTTTACCTGGAGCTGCAAAAAAATAGGTAGCCTTCAAAAAAAAATAAAAAAAGTTTTTAAGGCGAATAAGAATTTCCTATCCAGCAATATAATAGATTTCTTGGCTTTATAGTAAATAATAAGAAAAACTGTAAAAGCAAAACTCTTGCATTTCTTGTAGAAAAATATACAAAATCACGTTATGTAAAATGTAGCTTAGCAAAACTTCTCTTTTAAATGATTGCATTTGACTTCACCTTCTTTGCATCATTTTGATCAGTAAGAGGGATGAGCAGGTCAATGCAAATTTCCCTTACATCTGATTTGCTAACATGAGCAAAAAAGCTTGCTTTATTGGTGAATATCTACCACAAGAATAAGCAAAATAACAAAATAAAGTATTAAGGTGGATTCAGAGTTTATTTAATTTTTTTCGTGGGGGGGGGGGGCAACTGCTGTATCAGATCCCACCATCTCCTACCACCAATATGTGACAAATGTGGTGTCAGCACAGATGGAGCTGTCACTAATACGTCCTAGGATCCAGTATCATTTGCAGTGACTTCTGTGTCTGTGGATGGTCGATGCTATGTACAGGTGGCCTGGCGCTGCTATGCTCACACTGTGGATTGGAGTTTGCATTTGTTGGTTCATTAGTGTCAGTCTCTGTATTCCTATCCTGAGGGGCTGTACCTGAATGGCTGGTTTCTAAGGCACACGGAACCCCTTCTGTTCCAGGTTCCTCCAGGTTCTGATCTGCCTAAATATCCACATCATGTAATCATGTCCTCTCACAGTTTTGCCATAGGTTCAAATCCCTCTTGTTTGCAACTCATTGATCAGATCATCTTTGCTCATTTTCTTGTACTCTGCCTCTGAACATATTTGCAAAAATAAAATATAGTATAAAAAATAACAAGAGATGGGGAAGGATCTGTGTGACTCTTTATGTTTACTGTATATAAAATATTGCACCGGCTTATCTTTAAGGACTGTTTCCCCAATGGTTACAATCCTTCAGTGCAGAGCTAATTCCTAATGCTTCACTGAATGGTCTAAGCACAACTATCCCACTGCTGCCAGCAATATGTGACAAACAGGCTTTCAGATCCCACCTTGCTGCCACTAATATGTGATGAACCCAGTGTCAACTTACATGGTACTGTCTGTAATATCTGACGATGACACTCTCAGCCTCCCCCTGCACAAAGATTGCCCAGCTCAGAAGATCAGAAGATCACAGCAGGCTAAGATCAATCACGACGACATCATTGATGAAATGCATTTGGTGGAGTCTGTGCTCCTGATGTCATCATGCTGTTTCCGATTACCAGGAAGTTGGATTGGTTCCTCCGACCAGAGACCTTATTTTTGTATACAATTTATATTTGTCTACTTAAATGTGAGTGGAATTCAACACTTTTAATAAAATTGTTCTTATGGTTTTATGCAATGTTTGCTCTCCTGTTTCTTCCTTTATAGTCTAATAGAATGCACACATCAGAGAGATATTGTCAGGAAAGGACTCACCGCTGGTTGCAGTACCAGGACGTACCAGCAGGTGCCTTTTCAGCAGCCAGGATCTCAACTTCTGCAATCAAGCCATCACCTGAGGCTAATTGCAGGAGGTGTATTTAAACAGTAACCAGGCCTGCAAGCAGGGCCTTGGTGTTTGTTCCCATGAGCCTCTGCTACCTGTGATCCACTCTGCGTCCCATGCTTGATCTCCCATGTATGACCCCTGCTAGCCTGACTACGCTTGATTGCTGTACATGTATTTATTCGGTGAAGGTTTTTTGTTATTTGGGTTTTGTTTGCACTGTGCGTTTTTTGTATACTGGTGTAGCTCATAATAAATTCTATTATCCACATCACTCCTGAAGCCTGATATTCCCTGTGTCAGTCCACACATCTCTGGTCATATCCGGGTTGACAGATATAGATATAAAAAATGAATGAAAGGTTTTTTGATAAGATGGGGATAGTCTGAAGGGATACTTTCCTCTCAGTGCTTGAACAGATCAATATTTTTGATCAGACCAGCACTATACCAGCGCAGGGGCGGACTGACCATTTGGGAACTCGGGCACTGCCCGAGGGCCTGGGGTCAGTAGGGACCCCATGGGACACCCCTGGTACCTTTCATAGGCTTTTTTGGGTGTGGTTTGAGTGTGAGTGAGGACACAGGGGCCCCATGATTCCCTATTGCCCGGGGGCCCCATGAGTCGTCAGTCCGCCCCTGTACCAGTGTTCACAGTAATATAATGTCTCCAAAAACACAGCGTTAGCAGGATCAGAACCTGCCCCTATGCTTACCCCCCCCCCCCCACTTCTCCCCAAGCAAGTGCAGTGTCAGTAGGTCACAGTCACTTGATACATTGCACACAAAACCGCAGTGTTCGCAGAATCAGACCTGCTCACTGTTAGCACTTGCTGGTAAATTTTTTGTAGCAGTTCAAGCAGCCCCTGACAGCCAGGTGCTCTTTTTCCCATGAGTCACACTAGGTACCTATACATTTAGTGGCCAAAATGTCCAAAGAAAGGTACACTACTGAAGAGGCCTACAGGATTCTGAGCATGTCAGGTGAGAACGAAGATGTTGACTAGCTGACAAAATCCAGCTCAGAATGCAAACCTGTAGACAGCAACGGCACCCTGACAGACAGCTCAGATGATGGAGAAGAGGTCCCTGCTAAAATCAGGCATACCTGACCCCATTCCCAGGTTGCTGAGATGTTCCAAACACATGATGACTCTCATATGCAGCAAAGTGCCAGTACTAGTGCCACTCTACCTTTTGGTGAACCGGCGAGCACCAGCGGCCTAGTATATCCTGATCTTTTACAGACCAGCGCTGCAGTATCACTTGGTGACCTGGCGAGTCCCATAAGTGCAGTACAAGCTGGTGCAGTGGCTAGCACAAGTATTGTCCTGCAGCCACCAAGAATTCGCACACAGGCCTGTAGAGCCCCTAATGTCCTTCTGGATGTGCTTGCAAATCCCGATTGGCAGCCTACAAATTCTGCAGCACTCGTACTTCCCTAATTCACTGCCCAACCCGGAATTCAGGTGGAAATAGCAAATTTAAATACTCACCTTGATTTTTGAAGCTGCTTTTCATGGAAGATCTGCATGCATTGATTGTGGATCAAAGCAATTTATATGCACAACAATTAATTGCTGCCAACGCAGATTCAAACCTTGCCAAACCATTCGCATGGAAACCCATTACGGTTTCTTAATTTAAAGTTTTTTTGGGCCTAACCCTCAACAGGGGTATTACTAAAAAAAAGTCAATTGCGGTTGTATTGGTCCAAAGACCCAATTCATCATATACCCATGTTCTCTGCTGCCATGGCCAGGCATAGATATGAGAATATAATGCGTTTTTGCATTTCAATGACAACACACTGTCATCCTCGAGGTGACCCTGAATTTGACTGGCTCCACAAAATTCGGCCTCTCGTAAATCACCTTAACCAAAAATTTGCAGATGTTTATACTTCCCAGCAAAAAATCTGCGTTGTTGAGTCCCTCATTAATTTTCCTGGCTGCCTTGCATTCAAACAATTTATCTCCAGCAAGCGTGCCAGATATGGTGTCAACATGTATAAGACCTGTGAGAGGGCAACAGGCTGTACATATAAGTTTTGGATTTACGAGGGAAAAGATAGTGATGTGGAGCCCCCCCCCCTGGATGCCCAGACTACATGGGGAACAGTGGCAAGATAGTTTGGGACTTGGCGTCATCCTTTTTCCATATGGGGTACCACTTATACATGGACAATTTTTATTCAAGCGTGCCACTATTTAGATATTTGTACAATCTTGGAATTGGCACATCGTGACCTAATCGCCGGGGCTTCCCCCAACGGCTTGTAAGTACCCATGTTAGAAAGGGGGAAAAAGCCTGCTTGAGAAATGAGGAATTGCTCGCAGTGAAGTGGAAGGATAAATGGGATGTTTTCGTCCTGTTTTCCATTCCCACAGATACGACCATCCAAATTACCATGGCAGCTGGTGTTGAGAAGCCCCTCTGTGTCCACGACTATAACCTTAACATGGGAGGGGTGGACTTCAACGACTAGATGATGAAGCCGTACTTAGTTTCCTGAAAAGCCAGATGCTGGTACAAAAAAGTGTCTATTTATTTCATTTGGCTCTATATAACACTTTTTTGCTTTACAAAGCAACTGAACGAAGTGGATCCATCCTAAACTTCCAGGAAGAGATCATCACGGCCCTTTTGTATCCAGAAGGTGCTAAGCCCCAAACCTCCAACCCTGATACAGTTAGCCGGCTGCATGAGAGGCATTTTCCCGATGCCATTCCTGGTACCCTAACCCAAAAAGGCACCCCAAAAAAGATGTGTCTGCAGCAGACATGAAATTAGGAGTGACACCCTCTTTTTTTTGTTCCTCCTGTCCTGACTGAACTGGTCTCTGCCTCAAGGACTGCTTCCGTCGCTACCACACACTAGTGCAGTATTAGTATAGGGGGTACAGCAAGGCACAGTTCAGGGTACATAAATACACAGGGTCTCGAAAGATGTTTGGTAGTCAGGAAACAGGTTATCGTATTTGGAGAGACCCTACAATCTGTTTTAAAAAGTTAAAGCTTAAAAAAAAAAAAAGTAAAAAAAATAAAAATGAAAGTACAAATCCCCCTCCAAAATTAAACATTTTTAAAACCAAAATCAGTTATAGTTTTTTGTTGTTGTCATTGTTGTTATTGTTCTACTGTTACTGTTTTATTGTTAACCATTGTTGTTTTCTTTGCAGGAATGCTTTCAGCTGCAGCACCGACCTGTTTACTCTGACAACAACAGGCGCGTGCTCTTAGAATATACATAAATCAGTGTGGGCAGCGCTGTTGAATGAGATTTTACATCCGCAGTTAAAAAAGAGCATATATGCCAAAGCATGGGGGCCTGGGGTGGCCAGTGGGTGGATAGTGTAGCAAACTTGCTCATCAGAGTGGGACGCGGAGTTCCCCTTTTTTTTATTTAGAAGTATCCCTCAGTCCTTCATTCCCTACCCCCTCCCTTCCTGTGAGGCAAACGTTATATCCTGACAGACGGTGTGGGTTAACCCAGGTTAAGGCATCCCTAGTTTGGTGCCGAGCAGTCTGCGAAGCTTTCCTCACCTAAGCACTGACCCGAGAAACTTGTGTAGGCTCACTCATCATAAAACAGATAAGGCAGCTTTTACCAGGAATTGAAAGAGATTGTAACCTCATAAAACCTAACAGTCAAAGATGACAGAGTGAAATGAACATTCCTCAAGTCAGGCTTTTCCCCTAATGTGTCATGTCATGGATTATGACAGATGTTGGTTTTAATTCAGAGTTCTCCTGACTGACCCCTCCCAAAACAGCATAGTGGCCAGTGTTCAGAGCTGCCCCCCCCCCCCCCCCCCCCCCCTTGCAGAGTGATTTTAAAAAAGACTGGCTGACAAGCCTAAAGAGAGCTTCACACATCTCCTGATCTTAACATCCTAACAGAGGAGATCAAAGACCCTGCTCTGCACTTGGATCTGCTTACAAACCAAGGCGTATTGGCAAGTAACTTAATCCTTTAACTTCCTTCCTATTATCTCTTTGCTGTGTTGTGGGTCTTTATATGCATATATATATATATATATATATATATATATATAGTTACATTTTCTGTGTAAATATTTTATTGCACCTGTTTGACTCTTTAAGTAATAAATCTTTCTTTCTGAAAGTGTTAAACTGTTTCTAAGCGCTTACTTGCAATTCACGAATTCCTGTCTTTGAAGAGATGCTACTGTGTTTGTTTAATCCTCTGCCCAATCGGCCTGCGGTGACCATATTGGATAGGCGACTTTTCAATCATTATAGTGTATATTTGATAATGGGAGTTTCCCAGTCTCCGACCTCAAAAGTGTGGTGGTGGCAGTGGAGGGTTAGTTGTGTAATTAACCCGACCCAGTAACAAGGGCATTCAGGCTGCAGGCACCGACTGTAGCCCATTAGCTGGACAATCGCTGTGCAGGGTGCAGCTGGATGTGGCCTTGTTACGCGCGTCACACCGCAGTTTTAGATTGGCTGGTCCTTCGGTCACGAGTGTGGTGAGAAGGTCTGGGGTCTGATGCCGCGGGCGTGACGTATTATTGTTGGTCGCGGTCGTGCGATTTCGCATGTTGGTGGCGGCGATCGTGACAGATGGCCCCTATGCTTCGGCATATATATTTTTTAATATTTGTTGGCACATTTCATGTGTACCCACCATTAGAAGTGGGTGGATGCAGGGAGGTATATTCTAAAGGTGAGCATACACTTTTTCTGGCAGAGACTTTCTTCTCTTGTTTTCATTCAGCCCACAGGCTGCATAAAAAAGAAAAAACATAGCATATACACCCTTGGTGTTCAGGTGGTTAGAAGAGTGAGTGATGTGTAGCATAAACCTCTAATTATGGATATAAAATGCCTCCACTCTCCCAAAATGACCCCTTTTTTGGAAAGTAGACACCCCAAACTATTTGCTGAGAGGCATTTTGAGTCAATAGAAGAATTTATTTTTTTTATCACAAGTTTTTGGAAAATGACAAAAAAAATTTTTTCTTACACAAAATTCTCACTTAAATAATTTATTGCTCACACATGCCATGGGTATTTGTGGACTTACTCCCCAAAATACATTCTGCGGCTTCTCCGGAGTATGGGGACACCACATTTGAGAGATTTTATGGCAGTCTAGTCAAGTACAGGACCCAAAATCCAATAAGCACATTCAGGCTTTTAAAGGGCTTTATTTCCTCATTACACTTCTTGACTACCTATCACAGTTTCAAAGGCCCTGAAATGCCAAGATAGCACACCCCCCAAATTACCCATTTTTGGAAAGTAGACACTCCACGGAATTTGATAAGAAGCATTGTGAGTATTTTGCAGATCTCGTTTGTTGCCACAAGTTTTTTGAAAAAGAAGAAACAAAACATATTTTTTCTTTTTTTATATATTTCAAAACCTGTGAGAAAAACTGAGAACTGCAAAATACTCACCATGCCTCTTTTTAAATTCCTTGGGGTGTATACTTTCCAAAAAGGGCTCATTGGGGGGGGGGGGGGGGTGTTGTTGCTATCCTAGCATTTCAGGGCCACGAAACTCTGATAGATAGTGAGGAAGTGAATGAGGAAGTTACGCACCTTCAGGCTTTCAAAGTGGTCATTGGATTTCAGGCTCCTCTATGTGGCTAGGCTCCAAAAAAGCCTCACACATGTGGTACTCCCATACTTGGTAGAAGTAGCAGAATGTATTTTGGGGTGTAATTCTACATATACCCATGGCTTTTGTGAGCAATATATTATTTAACTGACAAATGTGTG